CTTGTCAGAAAGGGATCCCGTGACCCCCAGACACTGCAATCGTCATAAATACATTCCAGTTGCCAAGCGCCAGAATTTTGATCACGTAACCCTGGGGAAGTTGCAGCGGTCGTAAGTGTGAAAAGTCATCCTAAGTCACTTTTTTGCTGTTGTAACTCTGAGTGGTCACTGAACGGAACAGCTGTACGTTGAGGATTACCTGCACAGGTAGTTCTTGATTTACAACCATTTGTTTAGTGACCATTCAAACTTACAGTGGCACTGAAAAAAATGACTTATGACCATTGCAGCATCCCCGTAGTCACGTGATCAAAGTCCAGCTGCTTGGCATCCGACTCACATTTATGACGGTTACAGTGTCCCAATGTTATGCGATCCCGTTTTACAACCTTCTGACAAGCAAAGTCAATGGGGGAGTCAAATTCACTTAACAACCAGGTCACTAACCTATCAACTGCAGGGATTTACTTAACAACTGTGGCACCAAAGGTCGTAAAATTGGGCAAAATTCATTTATCAAACATTTCACTTAGCGGCAAAAATGTGGTTGTACGTTGAGAACTACCTATATATGGCATCTAGCAAGTTGTACTTCTTTGCGTCCTCATTTCTCCTAGTTTTCAAGACAAATGATTAATCAGAGACACATTTCCTGTGAATTTTGGAATCACTGGATTAGATGGTAGAAGCTAAACTTTCAGTTCTTGTCACCCATGACTGCAGGCTGGAATAGCAAGACCAGGGGTAGGCAACCTTGGCTCTTTTATGACTCGTGGACTTCAACTCCCAGAATTCCTCAGCCAGCATGGCTCAGCATGGAAACCTCTCCCTTTCTCCTCAGCATGGCTAGCTCAGGAATTCTGGGAGTTGAAGTCCACCAGTCATAAAAGAGCCAAGGTTGCCTACCCCTGGTCTAGGGCAAGGGTCTTCAAACTTGGCCTTTTATGACTCATGGACTTCAACTCCCAGAATTCCTGTGCCAGCATGGGTGAACTATGGCCTCCTTTATGACTCGTGGACTTCAACTCCCAGAATTCCTGAGCCAGCCATGCTGAGGAGAAATGGAGAGGTTTCCATGCTGAGCCATGCTGGCTCAGGAATTCTGGGAGTTGAAGTCCACGAGTCATAAAAGAGCCAAGGTTGCCTATCTCTGGTCTAGGCCTAGGCCACTTTATGACTCATGGACTTCAACTCCCAGAATTCCTGAGCCAGCATGGTTCAGCTTGGAAACCTCTACCTTTCCCCTCAGCATGGCTGGCTCAGGAATTCTGGGAGTTGAAGTCCATGAGTCATAAAAGAGCCAAGGTTGCCTACTACTGATCTAGTCCAGGGGTAGGCAACCTTGGCTCTTTTATGACTGGTGGACCAACTCCCAGAATTCCTGAGCCAGCATGGCTCAGCTTGGAAACCTCTCCATTTCCCCTCAGCATGGCTGGCTCAGGAATTCTGGGAGCTGAAGTCCACCAGTCATAAAAGAGCCAAGGTTGCCTACCCCTGAGCTAGGTGATGCAATCCAGGGACTCGAATTTGAAAGCTCAGTTTTAAAAAGCTGCTGAAGCTGCTGAGTATCAACTCTATTCCTCTTTGCAGATGTGGGGTTATAAAATGTGTTAATTACTTTCCCTTGGCATTTATTGGAATACTGTAATGGTCTAAAATGCTCCAGCATTTATTGCTATCTGCGATTAACTCCCTAAAGCATTTCATGGCCACAGTTAGATATGGATTTGCAAAACGGGGTCTTGGATCCATAGATTTGCAAAAAAAAGCGATTTGCAAAAAGTGGTTAGATCACGCAGTTGCCAAAAGCATCGTTGTGACCTCAATTATCCATTGTTAAAAAAAAAGACAAAAAAGAAAGACCATTTCTTTCTGGGGGAGTATGTGATATTGTCTATAAATCTTTTTGTTTTTGTACTGCAAGATTACAAAGTTTTTTTAGGAAATCAAGTGAAACATTGCATTAGCACTAAGCCCAAATGTGAGAGGTAACTTTGAGGAAAATAGGCATTTTCATTAAAGGAGCAAAAAAGAATTGCGTGAAAAAATGCAAAACCAATCTAAGTGAAAGAAGGCAAGAGGAATGATGGACGGCCAACTTTTTAAGAGCCACATAAAAATAAGGGATGTAAGTTAGCCTAGCCATGTATTGAACTTAGATTGCATGTCAAGAAGATGGGCCACTATGTTATATTAAGCTCACGTAGACTCAATATAATGATATATAGGCTTGTCCAAAGTAGAGAGTTCTAACTTCAGAGTTTTTGCAACCCATGAGTACTTTGTCCTTTGTCCTTTGTATGAAAGTTTTATGCTGCATCAGAATGTATGTCCAGTGGGGGGGGGGGAAACCAAGGAAATCAAATGTGCAGTTATTTGTTTTAAACTAGGAAGAGCAATCATAAGTGTTGAAGCTTATAGATTTGAGGATTGAAGTTCATGGATAAGGGAGACTTCAGTACGTGAAGGGTGTTCCTTCCCCTCCTCCTCCTCCTCCACCTCCTTCTTCCAAACTCCACTCTCTTGTAGCACTGATGATGTTACCTAGCAATAGCACTTAGACCAGTGGTGGCGAACCTATGGCACGTGTGCCAGAGGCAGCACTCAGAGCCCTCTCTGTGGGCACCCATGCCATTGCCCCAGCAGAGTTCACCAGAGTAGCGAGCATGTGGCATTTGGAAACAACGGGGCAGGAAGTGAGCGAGCAAGCGGCGTTGGCCCCCTGGGAATGCCCCGGAGATGGTGAGGGACTGTTCCCTGTCACCCTGGTCCTAGCTCACCCACCCTACCACGCCCACCCAGTCTGCCGTGACCACCGCAGCTGTGACCACCGCAGCCATGCCCACCCAGTGGCCATGCCAACCCAGTGGGCAACGCCCCCCCCTGAGAACACCACAATGCTGATGCGGCCCTGGCACTTTGCAATAAATAAATGGGTTTGGGGTTGCAGTTTGGGTACTCGGTCTCTAAAAGGTTCGCCATCACTGACTTAGACTTGTATACCTGGCGCTGTGCAGAGTTAGCCTACAATACTGTATTCTGACCACTGTGCCGCCAAGGAAGGAAGGAAGGAAGGAAGGAAGGAAGGAAGGGAGGGAGGGAGGGAGGGAGGGAGGGAGGGAGGGAGGGAAAGAAGGAAGCAGGGGAGGGAGGGAGGGAGGGAGAGAGGAAGGAAGAAAGGAGACAAGAGAGGGAGAGAAAGGAAGGGAGGGAGGGAAGGAAGGAAGAATAGCAAGAGCACTTAGACTTACGTATATACCGCTTTATAGCCCTCTCTAAGCTGTTTACAGAGTCAGTCTATTGCCCCCAACAATCTGGGTCCTCATTTTACCGACCTCGGAAGGATGGAAGGCTGAGTCGACCTTGAGCCAGTGAGAATCGAACTGCCAAACTGCTGGCTGCCAGTAGTAAGCAGAAGTAGCCTGCAGTACTGCATTCTAACCATTGTGCCACCAAGGTTCATAGTTACGGTAATGAAAGGTCTGCAAGAAAACCACCAAGCGGAAAGAACACCAAGGACCCCACAGTCATCGTTCTCCTCTTCCTCCTCCTTTCTCCTTTTCCATCTCTTCTCCTCCTTCTCCATCCCTCCTCCTTCCCCCCCTCCTCCTCCATGTCTCAGGCACAAACAAGCAGAATCAAACTACCTACTTTATGGTTCTCTGCCTGTTTCACAGGATTCTCGCCTTGCCCTCTTGTGTCTACGTAAGGAATCCAGACTAATTCCCTGTTTGATCCCTCCTTCTAAGTGGGATGGTTGGTCTCCAGCATAACACGTGTATAGAAAGTAATGATGGTATTTTGATAATAGGTATAATGATTAGAGTGGGGTTGGCATATCCCACCCCAAAATATACTGTACATTAGGGTGTTGCTTCAGCTTCCTTTGCTAATTCTACTTCTGCCCTCTCAACCCTCAAGTTGAAACAAGTAGTTGTACAAGACATGGCCTTTTCAGTTATCTCACCCAGACATCAAAACTCACTTCCTTGGGACTCTTATTTTTAGCTTTCCAACACTCCATAAAAACCTTCGGGCGGGCGGGGGCATTCGGTCGAAATGTATCAGTAACCACTTTGAAGTTTCTGAGTTCCTTACTTGGTCCCCAGCTCTTAGATTAGGAATCTCTTTTGCCTTTTAACTATTACGTGTTTTTGTTAGCAGCAGGCATCTTGAATTTTTTATCTTTGTGAACAGTTTTTGATGTCCCAGTGAGAAAGGCAGTGGACACATTTCACATAAATGAAGTTTAAAAAGCAATAAACTGCTGGTGTTTCTGCCATGGAAATCCTGCTCAGTGTAGCATGTCTGGGTTTTATAATGGGGTCTGGCCTGGTGCAACTTAAGGGTCTCTCTGTCGAGTGAAGAATATGCCTAAAGGCACTCAAATTGTGGTCCTCAACCAGTGGCAAGTTCTAATACAGCTGTAGAATCGCTTCACAAGATAAAATAAATAACAGGGACAACCATCTTTTCCCATTATTTCCAATTGGGAAAGGACCAAATACAATGTCCTTGGTGTTCCCTGAACTTGCCTGTTTTCTTGCAGACCTTTCATTACCTGCCTAGGTAATATCATCAGTGCTAGAAGAGAGTGGGGTTTGCTGTCTGTAGCTTGCCCTGCCTGGATTGGTTGGGACGTGGTCAATGGTGGGATTCAAAGATGTTAACCACTGGTTCTCTGTGTGGATGCCACTTCCGGAAGTCTATTCTGGGCCTGGGCAACAAAAAATTAGCTACCGGTTCTGCCGAAGTGGTGCCAACCGGCTGAGTCCTACCACTGGACATGGTTTTTTCACTAGTCCCTTGAGCAGGGTCTTGTTTTCTGCTCCTCAATTGTTTATCCAAATTCTCAAGCTGGGCTACAAGAAAAGTCGTTCGGGCTAAATAAGACGACGAGGCCTGTGAACTCTTTCATTCCAGGCAAGAGTTTTGTGTGGAGAAGGAGTGCTTATTTATCTCCATTCCAATAATGCCACTTTTGCATATTTTGTTCTCAGGTTGCTATCCTTGTCCAGGGCCAAATATGAACCCCATAGCTCTAGGAAGCCGGTGGCTGGCCTATGCGGAAAACAAGGTAAGGAATCAATTCTAATTTTGTTTCTCTCTCTCTCTCTCTCTCTCTCTCTCTCTCTCTCCCTCCCTCCCTCCCTCCTTCCCTCCCTCCCTCTCTCTCTTTTCCTCCCTCCCTCTCTCTCTCTCTCTCCCCTCCCTCTCTCTTTCCCTCCCTCCCTCTCTCTCCCCTCCCTCTCCCTCCCTCCCTCTCTCTCTCTCTCCCTTCCCTCTCTCTCTTTCCCTCCCTCTCTCTCTCTCTCCCTTCCCTCTCTCTCTCTCTTTCCCTCCCTCCCTCTCTCTCCCCTCCCTCTCTCTCCCTCCTTCTCTCTCTCTTTTCCCTCCTCTCTCTCCCCTCCCTTTCTCTTCTCCTTCTCTCTCTCTCCCTCCCTCCCTCCCTCTCTCTCTCCCTCCCTCCCTCTCTCTCCCCTCCCTCCCTCTCTCACTTTTCCTCCCTCCCTCTCTCTCTCTCCCCTCCCTCTCCCTCACTCTCTTTCTCTCCCTCCTCCTCTCCCTCCCTCTCTCTCCCTCCCTCCTCTCCCTCCCTCTCTCTCTCTTTCCCTCCCCCCCTCTCTCTTTCCCTCCCTCCCTCTCTCTCCCTCCCTCTCTCTCTCTTTCCCTCCCTCTCTCTTTCCCTCCCTCTCTCTCCCCTCCCTCTCTCTCCCTCCTTCTCTCTCTCTCTCTCTCTCTTTCTCTCTCACTCTCTCTTTCACACTCTCTCAGCTTGTTTTAATATAATTCCTCAACATTTCGTTACCAAACTAAGTAACATCCTCAATGGGATTTTCTTGTCCTATTCTCTTGAGCTCATAAGCATCTGGTGTGCCAGTGTGATCAGCTGTTTGGAGCCATATCTGAATTCTGAGCAGCTGATTGGGTCTCTGGTTGATTGGCAGTTTGAATGGTCTGGATTTTTATATATTCATATGTTGGATCTAAGTCAATATGGTGTCAACTGCTCCTTTGTTGGAATATTAAGTCTCAATAAGTTTATACCCATATCTTTGAAATAATAGGAAATATGTGTAGCTCCGGTTTTAGTCTCTGTCTCTCTCTGTCTCTGTCTCTCTCCCTCTCTCTCTCCCTCCCTTCCTCTCTCTCTCTCTCTTTCTCTCTCTCTCTCACACACACACACAAACACGGATGTGGCAGAAAACATATGTAAGGATGGTTGACTTCCAAATAGTCCCCTTAATGTTTTTATTATGAGTACTGTAGTTTACGTTCATTGCAGTACATCAGGGCGATGTAATCTGAAGTCCCGGTGCTTCGGGGGCCTGTGTAAACTTGGACGGAATCCCCCTAATGGGAAGGAAAGACTTCCCAGAAGTAGGTTTGAGAAATTCATGAATCACATCTCTTACAAAACTATTAATAGCTGCTTGGACTGATAAAAGAGAGAAAAAGAAATATTTGTTCCAGTTGCTTTCCTGCCTCTGTTTGCTTGTATGGGCTCATTTGCTGGCACGGTCTCGCCTGCCTTGCCCAGGACAATCTGGCTGGAGGAGAGAATGCAGCAATAAACAGGACTTTCTTACACAAACTCACACACGCATACAGAGGGGAGGGTTGATGTAAAAATAAGTGTTTTGTTAAGATGGTAATCGTAGAGGCCTGATTGAAGATGTCCTTGAGTATCTGCTCTTGGTATAATCTAAGTTCTCTACTTACCACAACTCAGCCCCAAATTTGCATTGCTAAGCGAGACAGTTGTCAAGTGAAGTTTTGCCCCGTTTTACAACCGTTCTTACCGCAGGCGTGAAGTGAATCACTGCCGTTGTTCAGTTAGGAACATTCTTAAGTGAAGCTGGCTTCCCCGTTGACTTTGCGTGTCAGGAGGTCACAAAATGTGATCACCTCAGCTGTCACAAATACATGACAGTTGCCGAGCCTCTGACTTCTGATCACATGACCATGGGGATGCCTCAAAGGGCATAACTGTGAAAAACAGTCATAGGTCACTTTTTTCAGTCCTGTTGTCAGGATCACTAAATGAACCATAGTCGAGCACTATGTCAACGCTGCTTTTCTCTTTTGCTTTTAGAGTTAGATGATGCTGGGAGGGGGGGATGTGAATGAGAGTCTAGCTAGACATAACAACACTAAACCTAGTGTGAGAATCAAGGTTATTGTAACCAGAGCTGATAAGGAATTGGCCCTGGAGAACTGGAGAGGAAGCCCGCAATTCAAGCTAATTGGGGAATATGATTTATGACTGTTAATTGGAGGAGGGAATTGTGCTTTGATACTATGTGCTCAGGGGAGGGGAATCCAGTTTTTGGCTTTGATTATGCAGTGCCAATATTATGCTACTTGAATAAAAGATCCTTTAAGGTAAATAATGCCTCAAAGTTCTTTGGAAGAGTTTCATCTGTCGGACCCATGACACACTACTTGCAGTGGGGTAGAGGGCTGGACGGGAGGGTCTTCCCGAGGGGTCTGTTGTCTCGTTGGCTTGACTTAATGCCAGTTCTTTCTTCTTGCAGCTGATTCGGTGCCATCAGTCCCGGGGTGGAGCTTGCGGAGATAACATTCAGTCCTACACCGCCACAGTCATCAGCGCAGCCAAAGTGAGTGGATCAAGAGCCCTTTCAGTGGCTTACATGGCAATGTACTCTTTATTTAAAAGTAGTTTTTATACTGACTTTCATTCTAGGGTTGCGTACAGCCAAAAAGCATTTATTGAAGTTGCGTAACTCCCCTTTCCTCAAAAGAGATACAGGCCAAAAATAAGAAATACAAAAAAAAGTCAAACAAGTGAATTGGTCAGACCAATTAAAATGGCATCGGAAAGGCACTTTCACCTAAAAAGAAGGGTTGGAACTTCAATGTAGCTGTGCTTTTTTTATAAAACGGGGATTTTCGACTTAAATCCAACGTTCACTCCCAAAATGGTTATCCAGAAACCCACAGGCACGGCAGGAGCCCAGCCCCAGCAGAGCCGGTGGTCAGGCATGATCAAGGCTGAAACAACATCTGGAGGGCCACCATTTTGACATAAATATAAATGTGAATGAAGAAATATATATTTTCACAGCATGAGGATATATGCCTGTAAAAAAAAAAAATCATGTCTCTGAATATGGAAATCCTATGGAAAACATCTGGGTAAGATTAAAGAGTAAAAAGTGGTACCTTTGCGGGCATCAGCTGCAGGCCACCTACCCAGATAGAAGACGTGGAGGGTGGCTCTTGAAATCCTAGCCCCAACACAGGTAGTCCTCGACTTACAACCACAATTGAGCCCCAAACCTATGTTGCTAAACCAGACAGTTGTTAAGCGAGCTTTGTTCCATTTTATGACCTTTCTTGTCAAAATTAGTAAGTGAATCACTGCAGTTGTTAAGTTAGGAACACGGTTGTTAAGTGAATCTGGCTTCCCCATTGACTTTGCCTGACAGAAGGTCGCAAAAGGGGATCACATGACCCTGGGACACTGCAATGGTCATAAGTGTGAAAACGGTCATCAGTCACATTTTCAGTGCTGTTGTAACATCAAACGGTCACTAACTGAGGACTACCTGTATTCAAAAACGATTAGAAATAGTGAGGATTGTGAAACCAGATAGAACTAGAGCAGTGGTTCTCAACCTGTGGGTCGGGACCCCATTTGGGGTCGAACGACCATTTCACGGAGGTCGCCAAACAACGCAGTCCGCCATTTTTTTTCCCCTTTTCCTTAGCTGTGCTACTCCCTTTTATTCTATTGGCTTTTGAAAGCCAATAGAATAGACTCTCTTGAATAGAGTCTAATTCTATTGGCTTTCAAAAGCCAATAGGAATTGTCCAGGCTGTCTCTGCCCTGCTGAGCCCGCCAAAAGTCCCATTCTGCAAACAGTGCTGCACCAGTTGAGTAGTCCTCGACTTACAACCGGTTGAGTAGTCCTCGACTTACGACCTGTTGGAGGTCGCGGCATTAAAAAGGTTGAGAACCACTGCTCTAGAAGTTGTGGGTGTTCTATCAATGGAGGCTTTCAAAAAAAAAAAAGTCTGGACAATTATTTGTCTGAAATGTATAGGGCAGTGGTGGTAAACCAGTGGTTCTCAACCTGTGGGTCGGGACCCCATTTGGGGTCAAACAACCATTTCATGGGGGTCGCCAAACAAGGCTGTCCGCCATTTTTCCCCCCTTTTCTTTGGCCACGGCCCTGGCACCCGGTGATGTATAAGTGGTTGGGGGGTCACCACAACATGGGGAACTGTATTATGGGGTCGCGGCATTAGAAAGGTTGAGAACCACTGTGGTAAACCTATGGCACGGGTGCCAGAGGCGGCACTCGGAGCCCTCTCTGTGGGCACACGTGCTGTTGCCCCAGCCTTGCCTCCCCCCGCGACCCCCTCCTCACCAGCAGCCCCCCTGGAGGAGAGTCACCCCCAAGCGTGGCCCATGTGGAGCAGCGCAGCCAAGGACATGGCAGCCAGGCAGCATAGACAAAACTCTGCCCTCACGCCCCATCGCACACAGTTGATGCTGCGGGGCGCGGCTGCGTGGCTGCCATGGTGCTGCTGGGCTGCCTGGGTGATCTGCACTGGGTCCTGGAGGCGGTGAGTGGCCCTGCGGGCAGATGGGGTGGGGGACGCAGTAGAGGCGGAGCAGGGGCGGAGCAGGGGTTGGAGGGAAGGCGGGGCCAGTTTTGGGGCACTCGGTCTCTAAAAGGTTCGCCATCACTGGTATAGGTTCTCCTGCCTGCGCAGGGGTTGGACTAGAATAGGGGTCTTCAAACTTAGCCCTTTTATGACTTTTGGACTTCAACTCCCAGAATTCCTCAGCCAGCGTGCCTGGCTGAGGAATTCTGGGAGTTGAAGTCCACAAGTCGTAAATGGGCCAAGTTTGTAGACCCCTGCTCTACAGTCTGGTAGGAAAGTGTGACACACAGATCCATCATTCAGGAATTCTGTTCTGGTGGTGGCATCTGTCAGGCATCCTTCAGCGGATTTTTGAACGGAGTAAAGGGTTAGATTAGGTAACAGTCCCTTCCAGCTCATTCATTCTAAATTTATATCTGTAACTTCAGTTAAACACAAAGAAACATTGTCATTTAACTGCAAAAACACTTCCCTTTCTGGGCTTCTGAAGCTGTGCTTCTTATAACTCCATCATTTTCTCACTTTCTGGGGGAAGACATGGCGGTTTGCAAGAAAGGGATTGAAAATTTGAAGTTTTCAATTGGTGGGCTTGACCGACTTCTTCAAAAACAACCCACAGCAAAAGACAGGGAATGTGCGCATTTCCTTAGAATAAGCAAGCAACAATTTGAAAAGACAAAAAATGTATATCCCATAATGATGACTATGGATGCCAACCAATCTTCTTTTAAATGTGCGGAAAAAACCCACAGATTTTGTATCGGTCAAAAGAAATATGGATCTGTTTGTGTGTATTTGGGAGGGGGGGAGGAGTATGGAATCGTGTTACACAATTTGTTTTGTCATCTTTAATATGTTTTCTTAATTTCATGAATTCCAGCACATTCTCATTCTTATTCTTACAATTAAAATGTCTCTCCATTTCTGGATTTGTATTTCTGCTTAAACAGGGATCATTTAAATATTCATCCAGTGAAATACACCTTGATGCTCAAGTAGGTTTTCTGCTGCAGAGGTTAAACACGCATATTGTATGGCAGCTGATTAATATTTAGTGTGTCCCCTTCCCCAGGTCCTACAGCAAACAAATTGAGGGGAGCAAGGACATTTGGGGTATTCTGAAGCTTCCTTTGGTGGGTTTTCAAAGTACAAGGCATGCTAAATAGAGCCAAATAGAGTTTGGTCTAATGCATGGGTAGGCAACCTTGGCTCTTTTATGACTCATGGACTTCAACTCCCAGAATTCCTGAGCCAGCCATGCTGAGGGGAAAGGGAGAGGTTTCCAAGCTGAGCCACGAGTCATAAAAGAGCCAAGGTTGCCTAGCCCTGGTCTAGTGGCTGAGGCAGCAGATTAGAAACTGGGAGACTGTGAGTTCTTGTGCTACCTTAGGCATGAAAGCCAGCTGGCTGACTTTGGGCCAATCACCAGGAGACGGGGAGTTCTATCTTAGGCATGAAAGCTGGCTGGCTTTGGGCCAATCACCAGGAGATGGGGAGTTCTAGTTCTGTCTTAGGCATGAAAGCCAGCTGGCTGACTCTGGGCCAATCACCCGGAGACAGAGAGTTCTAGTTCTGTCTTAGGCATGAAAGCCAGCTGGCTGATTCTGGGCCAATCACCAGGAGACGGGGAGTGCTAGTTCTGTCTTAGGCATGAAAGCCAGCTGGCTGATTCTGGGCCAATCACCAGGAGACGGGGAGTTCTATCTTAGGCATGAAAGCTGGCTGGCTTTGGGCCAATCACCAGGAGATGGGGAGTTCTAGTTCTGTCTTAGGCATGAAAGCCAGCTGGCTGACTCTGGGCCAATCACCCGGAGACAGAGAGTTCTAGTTCTGTCTTAGGCATGAAAGCCAGCTGGCTGACTTTGGGCCAGTCACTAGGAGACGGGGAGTTCTAGTTCTATCTTAGGCATGAAAGTTAGCTGGCTGACTTTGGGCCAATCACCAGGAGACGGGGAGTGCTAGTTCTGTCTTAGGCATGAAAGCCAGCTGGCTGACTTTGGGCCAATCACCAGGAGACGGGGAGTTCTAGTTCTGTCTTAGGCATGAAAGCCAGCTGGCTGATTCTGGGCCAATCACCAGGAGACGGGGAGTTCTAGTTGTGTCTTAGGCATGAAAGCCAGCTGGCTGATTTTGGGCCAATCACCAGGAGACGGGGAGTTCTAGTTCTGTCTTAGGCATGAAAGCCAGCTGGCTGATTCTGGGCCAATCACCAGGAGACGGGGAGTTCTAGTTCTGTCTTAGGCATGAAAGCCAGCTGGCTGACTTTAGGCCAATCACCAGGAGACGGGGAGTTCTAGTTCTGTCTTAGGCATGAAAGCCAGCTGGCTGACTTTAGGCTAATCACCAGGATACGGGGAGTTCTAGTCCCACCTTAAGCCTGAAAGCTGGGTGACCTTAGGCCAGTCTCTCAGCCCTACTCACCTCACACTGTTATTGTGGGGAAAATAAGAACAGGAAGGAGTATTGTATGTGTTCTCCTATCGTAACGTCGTACAGCGGGCACTTTATTCATTGAAACTAGAAAAAAGCTGAATCTGTTCCCTAGGCAACACTGCATCTTTGCTGTTTTTAAACAAATACTCTGGCGAAGTTTTCTTTAGACACTGAAGTATTGTCAACAGTAGTTCCTGTGAGAGAGAACTAGGCGTCCTAGTGGACCCCCCACTTCATTATGAGCCGACAGTGTGTTGCAGCAGCCAAAAAAGCCAAAGCAGTCCTGGGCTGCATCAGCAGAAGGATAGCATCGAGATTACATGAAATGATAGTATCCCTTTATACTGCCCAGATGAGGCTACACTTGGAATACCGCATACAGTTTTGGTCACCGTAATCCAAAAAAGATGCTGAGACCCTAGTGCAAGGCTTTTCAACCAGTGGTACAGGTACCACCTGTGGTACATTGGCACCTGGCAGGTGGTACGCGACCATCCTAGAAAAGGGGTAGTTGGGGAGGAGAATGAGCTGAACCGGTGGCAGCACCGCA